CCGAACCCTAGCGTCATATCTTACATATGAACTCCTCGTTTCTTTTCTATTAGCATCAGCTGTTAGTAAAGTTGACGCTTCAGCCTTTGCAAGCTCAGGTATTCTTCGGAGGATATATTGCTCTCCACCAAGACCAACCATGCAAGTCTCAATCATATTACGCCATCTTCTGAATGTGGCTCTGCTAAGATGAGGTGCATTTTTGAACAATGCGACTATGTCGGCTGTAGACATTATTGAAATGATAAAATAAAATGAATTGAAAATAATCCAAAAGTGTTACAACAAAATTACGACATAAGTAGTGTTGGAATAGCATCTCTAACTTGGTTTACTCGGAGATGGTGGTTGTTGGTTTGCATGCAAACAGTTTACTTCGTTATGGATCTCGTCATTCGGAAAATACTTTATCCGAAAGCAGCATAGTTAATATCCTGTAGCATCGTTGTAAACTAGATAACGAATGAACCATTAATGCGCATTCATTCTGAGCTATAGTTCGAAATACTTACACATGTATTCTCATAACTTTAAGTGAACTAATAGACTTTTAGTGTATGACCTTCGTCATACCAACAAGTAGGGAAGATACTTTCTTGGTCAATGGTTGAACAGAATATCGACGAGTAATTGTTGGATAGAAATAATAGCTCAGTTGTCTAGAGCATTAGTCTCATAATCTGTTGGGAAATATACTCTGTACGATATTATATGGATAAATATGATGAAGTAAAGAAGACTTGATATTTTACAACTATGTGAACATTGGACTTATGTATACATCCAAGGAAGAAATTCCCACTAGTCTCATGTGCCTGTCAAACCTAGTGATGACCAGCCACCTCTCATCTACCATGATGAGCCAAGATACACTGTAGTATGTAAATATCCAAACGTATAGGCGATAGTAGATACGACTAGCGCACTCGGGACATGTGTAGAGAGAGAGTCGATCTTGTCGGGAACCTGAGAAGAAACAGGTAATGGTTGAGTCCTAAATTTGGGAGTCAGAATTTCCAGCACAATTCGAAAAAACTCTCGTCCAAAATCGAATCCTATGACCTCCCAAGACAATATCCATGCCTATGTGTCCTGCTGCCTATCACTTTCATCCAGAAAATCAAGCTCCGAGATTTATGCGGACTGACTTCTGTCCTCTGGCGGGTATAAATTTTGGCGTGAGCTTATATTTGTAGGCTACTGGAGGCCAAAGACTAAAGTGGCAAGAGATGTTTTCATCGAAGTAAGGACGTGCTTAGTCTTACTTGAAGACTTTAAGAGGCTTTGACGGGAAACGATATTTTTGAAATTGAAATTTGGTTTGGGAATGAGTATTTAATCATTGCGCCGTGGACCCACTTCTTTGGTAATGCGAAATTTGACAAAACTCGGCTCTGACAGAATCCCTCCCTTCGTGGCTTGGACACGCAGCCCACTTGAGACATGAGATTTTTGATTTGAATCCAGCAAAGCTACACATCCTTCCTCGCGGCGCTCGTGGGTATGGATGATGAGAGCACGCTTGTATGACCAATGTTTTTTGGAATTCCCTCTGGTGGATACTCACAGAGGAGGGTCAGTTGTTCTGCATAAGCAAACGTGCCCCATAATGGCAATTGCAATTGAAGTACATATTACGAGTGTCTCTGAAGCTATAAGAGACATTCTACATGTATATAAGACACTGGTTATGTGTCATAGCTAGATAGCTGAAGACATCTTAGATGATTTAAAAAAATGACTGTAAATCCTTGATAATACCCTCATTTCAACGACTTCATCTCTCATCAACTCGTTCTCTGAAGTCAGCTGACCACTAAATGTACGCCTGCAAATACACAGATATCTATAGAAGAATAAATATCGTGGCGCACAAATCTGGGAGGCACTCCTTTGGTATGAACGAGGGAGAATTCGGGATAAGTTTACAAGATGATACAACGAATGGATACTATCTCGGCGAGTGTGAGGGTTTGAATTTGGCATGAAGATTTACAAACTGAAGAGTGTTATGCACGCCAATACTTCGATTGCGAGAGTTCAGCTTACATTTTAAAATATAATAGAATTAAATTGAAGTCCCTACTAAGTCTATGACTATGAAGGACTTACACTACAAAAACAAGTCAATGACGGAAGGTGTCGTGGTCCGCCTCCTGGTGGTGATCTTCAGAATAGTATGTGTAGCCTGTATAACTACTCCACTTAGGAAGGAGACGCCTAAGACCATATTTCGCGCGGAGTCAAGTCAATAGATAGAGGTATGTCTGAATAGCTCGGGATGATTGAGACTTTTCCGTGGGTGGGTATCCACGGACGACGGTTGACTTGGGGTGAAAAAAAGCCACCTTAACTTCGCAGTGGTACTTGCAAATGGAATCCGAAACATGAATCTTCCTCTTTAGTTGGCAGAACACAAATTAATATAATTTAGGTGCCGTCACGAGGTCGGTGAATAAAGTAGATTAAGTGGCATCTCGAAGTAAAGATATGGTTTTCTCTTCTTTCTCTCCCTCATCCTCTACTCCAAGCGCCTCCCTAATGTGCAAAGTCAGAGTCCTAATTGCATCCCGAGCACCACAAATATATAGAAAAATTCATAATGCCCAAATATGATCCTCTTCCCGAAAACTCTTGAACTGAGTCATATTATCTGAAATTTATCTCTGACATAGTGTAATAGCCATATAGCTCAATACGCAATTAAAGTCTGATGCGAAAAAATCAATGTCCAAGCTTTCAAAACTTTACATGGGAGATGATCCAGATGATATACCATTGCTCTAGCCAGCCATGCCCGATTTCGTGGGGTCAGCAGCACTCTCGAACTTCATGACTTGGCTCGCATCATACTGTTCAATTTATAAATCTCCTTTCCAAAACTCGAAATAACACACCCGTCGAGATTATATCCTTCCTTTGCATCATCTTGTAATTTTGTCTTGATCTCTTTCAAGTCGATTCTAAAGGAATGCTTCCAAGATTTGTGCGCCACAATTTTTTTCCTCTGGCAGATTTAAATATCGGCGTAAGCGTGTACTCCATGGTCAGCTGAGGCCAAGCAATAGTCGATAAGATGTGTAGTCATGGAAATGAGGATCTACTAGGTCGTACGTGTAAACTTGATGGGTCTTTGATAGTTTTGGATCAAGTTTGGAGCGAGAGATTAATTTGGTGGAGAGCCTTGAATCATTGCCTCGTGAACTGTATTCTTTCATATTGCAAAATTTGAATAAACATAGCTTCGAGGTAATATTTCACTACCAGATCCGTAAATCTCATCGCGGACAGGTGTCTTGTGTTTGCTCCCCTTACTTTGATTGTGGTACTGTGCTAAACTGATCCTTGGATGGCTGCTCTTCTTCAAAGTATTTTTCAGGCGTTATGCTGGGATAATCTTTGAATTGAATGAGTATTGAGAGAAAAGATAAACTTCAGAATTCGGTAGTCGGTCTTTCGGTTAAGCAGGAAACGTTGTGATTCTCCGGGTGTAGAATTCCTTTCACGCAAATTTCACAGGGAGCGAGAAAATGTCTTGCCTCATTGTGGTTTACATACAATGATCACCATATATAAGTTACTGGGTGGATGATCTATTGCTCCTCCGATGAGTCTCTAACGAGTGGGGCCCGGCTAGATAAGGATGACTGCAAGAAACGGATCCTTCGCTTGATATCAATAAATGGACTTGATTACACCAATTGCAAGGTAACGGACTCCTCCTTTCATCGGTGTCTTCTACGAACCTAAAATCATTGTTCAAGGTTCTGTAGAAATTAGAATGAGTCAGGCAACGTTCCAAATTTGATCTTAGCTAGTTTTCTTCTCTTCCAAGAACACTGCTGATCACACTTTTCTGCGAAAGGAATGTCACGAAGAAGCAGAGGATAAAGAGGAATACATTGCCTTCAAACGCTACCCTGTGAGTCGGAAGGATTCTCGTTGTATTAAACTCAAAACTATCCGCCGGCGCGTTACTGAAAGGTTTCTCAGCGTAGAGATCAATACACGCTAATTATTGGCTGACGAAATTCGACATGTTTGGGGTTGTTATTTTGAACTATATTTCTCGTCCCAATTGGGTAAAAGAGTCAGTCTTATTACACGGGTTGCGCGACCACCCCACGTCTGTGACAATATTGCAGGTTAAAGAAATGCAACAGTACTGCAGTCTCTCTGCGCCATATGCCATCGGAGATCTTTTCAAAAACTTTGTTTACGTTGAGGCACGAGTGGGGAAGGGACTGGGTAATTCCAGAATGTCAAGGCGTTACTGAAGTAGATACACATAAGTCCGTAGCGCCTAAATTGTCAGCCTCTCCGAACGCCCCAAATATATGGCAATGTCTTTGTATTTAGCCCTGTCGCCGGTGGCAGGGAAGTCCTGTAGCCAGTAGATTTTGGATATTCCCCGGTGCTACTCATTAGTAATTATCCATCGTCTGGCTGGCTGAAGAGGGGAGCCTATGACGGAATAACGGCTCCTCTATGCGCCTTCTCGATTGATGACATGTGGGGCCATTTCTGCCTGTCAGGGATGTTGAATGAGGCATAGGAGGGTGTAGGCTACCCGAGGCTTAGTTACTACCGGCCAGTAGGTAGACAGGCCTTCCATGTCCCACATAATCTTAGACTGATGTGCAGGAAAAGAGGTGTACAGGGCTGAGAAAAGCTGGCACTTAAACTTGGCGCGATGGGTCAATCTCAAATGAAACATCCCGACAGTTGCGGAACCCCTCCCTTTTTCCAACGCCAACGAATAAAATCCTTTCTTATTCCAACGAACTATAATATAATTTCCCCGTTAAGATAAAACATGCTTATATAATGCGACTCAATGTCAGCGATCTTTGTATTGAACCCCGCCCTTTTCATCCCGGTTTCGGAGCGATCACCCTAAGTCCTGGTAATGGGTGTGCCAATCCCGTTTCAAAATTTATATCTATTCAATAGCAGCAGATCTACAAGTGACAAACTTCACAAAGCCTCTACCGTACCGCATGGAAGGCGGAATTAATTGTGAGGACACGAACCCGACCGGCGCCCGTGCGGGCAGCTACAAACGAAAAAAGAATGGCTATGACCACTTGGGTAGCAGCCCTCGAAGCGGTGCTGAAGAAAACGAAGATGAGAGTGAAAGGAGGAGACATCCTGGTGTGAAGAGAGCCTGTAATGAATGTCGACAGCAAAAGGTGAGTTATGTAAATAGTTTGAAACGAATTCCGACCAGTACTGAGTTTTATTTTAATACCTGAATTTCATAGCTACGCTGCGATGTGATCCAGGATCCATTTAGCCACTGTTCGCGCTGCTATCGCTTAAAGTTGGAATGCAAAATTGAGTCCAACTTCAAGCGGGTTGGAAAGAGAAGTAAACACGCCGAAATGGAAAGGGAAATTGAGCAACTCCGGAAGAGTCTATTGGAGGCTCAGGCTCAAGGGTTTGTGATGAAAGATAGCGAGAAAACGCTATCACCCGCGATCAACAGTGTTTATAGGAAGACTAGAATGTTGGGAATAGAGGAAGCAGTTTCTCTCTCAGTTCTTAAGCACAACGATTCATACAACGAACCGCGGACCCGTCACAAGATTGAGAATTTAAATTTGAGCGAAGAAATGACAAATCGACTCTTCAACGAGTTTTGGTGTTGCTATCATCCCTTTCTGCCATTCTTATCGCCATCACAAGCTCCTGACTATTATTACCAACAGCACCCGCTTCTTTTCTGGGCTATTATCGCTGTCTCTGCTCGCTTCTTTGCTGACGATTCAGGGCTTTTGACGTCTCTATCAGGACCCCTTACGCGACTATTGTGGACTACTGTAGGCGAGGTTCCTAACAACCTTTACTTTGTTAAAGCATTATGTTTACTCTGTACCTGGCCTTTACCAACGAGCACTACCTCGACGGACCCGACACATATTTTGTGCGGGGTGATGATGAAGACAGCAACTGGTATCGGACTCCACCGGCCAAATCACGCTCAGGATTTTTCTCGGGTCTCAGTCGATCTCAATAAAGAGCAGCTCCACGAAAGACTGACCACTTGGGCAGTTTGCAACATAGTAGCTCAGCACTGTGGTACAGGCTATGGACAGCCAGCATCTACTCTCTATGACTGGATCCTAGCCGCTGGGCCAACAGAATGTGTTCCACCACTTTCGCTTGATCCAGAGCTCGAAGCGCATTTACAAATTGAACACTTTTGTGACAAAGTCTCAAAAGAAATATATTCTAACGCCTCCGACTCACGTGGTGTGGCTGGTGACGAACTACGCGCAATGCTAACACGTGTCTACCGCCGCGAATATGATGATCTACGAGCCTCCGTAATGTCTCGTACTGGCTTATCTCAACTCATAAATCTACATTTTACGGCTGCTGGCCTACATTTATGTCTATCTGCCTTTTTTAACTTGTCTATAATAAAGGGATACATCGATGATTTAATGGGCCTATGGAACGCCTGTATATCCTTCCTTGACCAAGTCTTTAAACTACAACTACCAAGTTCCAAGGATCGTAATCAATCTACTCTTCGCTATTCTACTAATTACCTTCTACAAATGATCGTCTCTGCTTGTTTTACGTTACTGAGGCTTCTGAACTCGGGTTTTGCGCAAAGAATTGACTTCAAATACGGAAGCAGCATGTTTCACTGTGCTATCCAAGCTATCCGATCCATCTCAGTCTTAGACAACGATCTACCATGTCGACTTGCTGAATTGATGATGCAAATGTGGGATCGCGCGCAAACAGAGCAACAGACTTCAACGCAAAATCTGATGAGTAGCAATCTAGAAGAAGTGGGGTCTACAATGGAAAATAGCTTGAAGCTAAAAGTTAGATGTCGAATGAGTATGAGCTTAGTTTATGATAGTATATGGAAGTGGAGGGAAGAATTTCAGGCACAGGGTAGGAGCAGTTCTGAAGGTCCCACTTTCTATCTTATCCCCTTTTATCACATTCCCATTTCTGATCCGCCTTTCAAAGAGCAATCTAACTCTAAGAACAGCTTGCAAAAAACTGGTCAACTCCAATTTCAACAGTGAATCTTCAGCCACCCTCGCTTCAGTTCGCCATACGACTCAAACCAATACCGTTCGAACAATCCCCAACTGCCAACCGACACAACCACAGATTCTTGCCGTTGCAAATGCAGAAATATCTAGTCACAACTTATCAGATAATTATGGCTTCGTAGGTGGCCTTAGTAACCCAGGAAATGTTTACCAGCCAGAAACTAGCTATGAACCATTTGACGCGCTAAACTGGATGTTAGATGGATTAATGGACTCACCATATCCTAATTATTTGGCCATCTCAGGTCTAGAAGGTGGCATTTGATGTGCGATGCGGTATCGTAGAAGAAGACAAAATATTCAAACTGTTCACAGGTTTGACAAAAACCAGGCATTTGAAAGATTACTGAGACGGTTCTACCTGCGCAGTAACTCATTGCAACAAGTTCGAAGTTCTAGAAGCTATGTGAGGAATTTTAACATATATTTCATAGACTGGCGCAGACTTTATCTACTCGAAACTGTCTCAGTAAGGGTGACTAGGCTATGAGATTGCATAGTCCTACTAATGATATTTCCCTGAGAATTATCGAATGTATACCGGAGCAAACTCAAATATAATTTTGGACTCTGTTTTTCCGGGTAGTGGAACTATCCACGAAACAATTCCTGGCAAATTCCTGTCGTTAATATTTCAAACGTTTGTCCAAGTAATAGACGGAGTACTATGGGAAGTTCAAATTAGAAGAATTTTTAGATGTCTGATGTGCAGCCAATAATTCCTAAAATAAGCTTTTTTGGAAAGGATTCGATAAAAAACAGTAACAACAAAATTGGATTGCCATGACAAAATTGAAAAGCTGATCAGAAAAAAGGAAAATTTTCAATCGAAGTTTTTAGTGTGGCTTATTAGACATCAGACGGTCTGACAGCATGGAATTTACGACAAAATTTACTCAACCCCAAAGTTTAAGGCACATCTAAGCTACTGACAGTCTAACAATTTCGATCTCGATAACTTGCATAACTTTGACAAGTTTTTTTAGTGGACTTAGTGCTGTGACTATCATGGCACAAGGATCCAACGTCATATCTTCGATCAATTTGGAGGACTATTTCTCAAGAGTCACTCATTATCTAAAAGTTTAATTGCGCCACGCTCTGCAGTAGGTTACTTATTCGATAATCTTGCCTACTACTCGACTCGCTCTTACTTAGTTCAACTGACATATCTATAAAAGCCATGGCACTGATCTGATTTATCAGTTATCAATTGTCATTGGATAAGTCGTGACATACTACAACCTAAAGTTAAAGGAAAGCTAGGTATTGAGTGTAAAGCTAGCAACATATGATAGCTATAAAGGTCTTTGGTTCTGGTATCAACTTACTCAAAAAGAGCTAGATATATTGTTTTCCTTAAAATTTACCCTCTAAAATAAATGGGATAGTTTCGACATCAATGATTACAGAAATCGATATATAAATTTCTTCAAAAGATTTCGCATTTCAAAAGAAGTCTAGGTTGGCATATCATAGATCAATAAAATCTCGCTGGAGGCTGACGGAAAATATATAGGTGTAGCTGTTAAATTTTAAATGCGAAAATAGTCTAGAGAACAGACTAAACTTAGTTACAAAATATTTGAAGAATAAACATTGCATACCTCGATTGTCAAGCCTCTGTACCAGCTTTAAAACATTGGTCTTTCTTTTATTTGGTTACAAGGCTTATAGAGCTAACTCTGATTCTTTATTCTACGTGAAATGAAACCTAATTTTGTTTCTTGAAGACAAGATCTTAATAAGAAAGATCTTGAACACTATGAAGGAAATAATACCCCTTCACTCATTGAGGTTGTAGGGCGCATTCATTCAAGTAACTACCGAACTGAGACTAGTAAAATGATTTGAAGTCAAATATGTATCAATAACGTGGCCTACTTGATAGCCCCAATTATTCCAACATCTAACATACAGAGTATTTTTTGTAATGGCACGTTATCATAGAGGAGAATTAGGTTCCATATTCTAAACTTGTCCGAAAAAGTTCATAAGAGGGTACAGTTGAGCGATTATTCCTAACCTGATATCTCCACAAAAACAGAGGAATCAATGTCTATTAAACTACGTGAATTCATGTCGACGCATTACAAAAAACTAAGATTCATTAGTCAATTCAATTCAGCTTGTGCAGCTTGGCAAAGGAGATTGAGATGTCCATTGAACTTGACTGCTTACCCATATTATTAAGAAATGAAGATCCGTTACGCCGTACATTTTCGGTTGCGTATGCGCTACCTATCATGCCTAATCCCTGAGCAGCATCTGATCCGATGCCGCACGGTTTTGCCCAACAAATTTGTGAGGGATAGAGGTCTTGCTGCCCTGCCTTCCAAAGATTGTGTAGTTTATGTTAAGGATCCTTCTGTTGGGGCTCTTATCTTGTGAGCCAGTATCTGAGTCCTTTTAACCGATTAAAGTACAAGCTAAGACGTATGATTATGAAATACTCATCTATCGCGGCTCTTATTGAGATGAACTAGAATTGCAGAGATAGCGTTTCACTCAGTACAAGAAATTGAAATCTACGCTTGCGCTAGAACCCCGAAGTTAACCCTTGGAGAAATGTAATTTGGTATGTAGAAGCAAAGTGATAACGAGAATTACCGAATGAGAAGAGCCCTTCTCTTACATCTTAGTTAGTCTGCTTGCTAGCGAATCACATATAATTTGAGGCGTATCAAATTGTGCACCTAGTTGAGCAACTATGCTAATTATACTGTCAGTAATACAACCATCGTACTGAGCGGAATACTTTTTGAGAAATTCGATTAAATGCCTCACAAGCATATTTCAAAACTTTACATTTGCTTCTATATATACTCATTCAACTTTGACCCACAGTGGTGAGACCTAGAATCTCCGAAATGGCGCCGTGACCCATCAAATTATCGCGGACTCGGCGCCGTAAAGCAGCCATGGCAAGAATTCACAGCAGGCTGAAAAAGCATCTAAATAACAAATACCAATCAGTACAATTCACCGGGAAAATCCGGAGTCAGTTACGTCCCAAAGGATGAGGGTCTTCAAGAAATCTCCGGCCCAACAAATGCAGTCATCTACAGATTTATATGAGAGAGTCTGGAAAGTTCACGCGAGAGTTTTATCGAACTAGAATGCAGTTAGCTCTTTGATGCTCCGGTCATTAAATCAACTAAGAAAATTACCGTTTCCATGAAAATAACAGTGATGTTGGATGTAAAAAAGGACAACGAGACAAAACCTGCTCAAAGGACCTATTATTTTACACCAGAGTTTGCTGATAAAAACTAATTTTTCTGTAGCGAGAGTGGCTCTAGGAAGACTATTTTTCTCGCTTTTGACCTTTAAGTCATACTTTAGGCCGAAGATCGCCGGTTTGCTCAAACGGCAACGAACATCTCGATGTCTACTTTTGCCATCAGCGGTGTCGAGAATGCGTTATCTACTTTCTGTAGGATTGAGCACTCAATTCATAGATTCCATAAAAGTTTACCTCAGAGCTACAATAGCTCAACTTATGATATCGGGACCGAGTAAAATCTTTCTCAACCTCTACTCAAGCCCCTACTGCCAGGATTAAGGCAGTAAAATGGCGGCAAAAGCTGCTTAAGATATAATGGAGCCTCAAGGAAAAGCGATTCAGGCCAAAACTATCTGTGCTACAGTCACTAGGATTGGCCTGTAAACGCCTTGAGCAATAGCTTAAGATTTTGTTGGACACTTAAGGTCAATTGAAAATTTTCAAGTAAAAGTGTATTGATAAGATCTTTGATTTTCTAACCTAAAGAAACCTTGGAACATAGACATAAGTCTCCTACAAGTATCTACGTGTCATGACAGATTGCATGAATAAATAACCACAGTGAATCAGGATAAAAACTCTCCAGAAATCTAGTGGCTTCTCTCAAGACATTTGTTAAGATATCCGAGTAAATACTTCAATCTAAAACAGCCCTCAACAATGCACCACGACTCATCAGACAAAGTAGCTTAACCAAAGCTACACCATGTATATAATCACGAGTTTGATGGATGATTAGACCATTAACCCCAGAGAAGGCCACGACAAAATTAGTTCGAAATGACTGTTTGTTTCTTCAGCCATTATCACGGGTTGCGGTAAAAAGGCTTGTGCAACAAGATACCTATTGGTAGTTTATATTATATCTAAATAAGAAACAAATGAATTTGATTACTTGAAGTTCGAATAAACCAATGCCTTTCTTCTAGAACTTTTCGACTAGTTTGCTATAGCTACGTGAAGTTGTGAAAAATAGACTTGTCTTGCAACACATCGGCCTCTAATGACTTCAGGCCGATGCTCACTGGAATGAGCTACAGAAATTACTCGGCTATAAAGTCGTTACCATAATAAAAAGAATATGCCTGGCTCACAACCTCGATAGCTGGCGTGCGAGATTTCGTAGCATAACTTCACTACTTTCCATCCACGTACATTGAGTAGATAAACAGGATTAAAATTCCCCCCATTTCGGGTCGAAAATTAAGAAACACGTGTACTCTTTCTAAACTCTGCTAGATCTTTTTTCCGGGAAGATGTCAGGTTAGAGAAAACCTTGGAACTGGCTACCCTCAGAATCGCGACAGTTTTAGTGGCCATTAATACATTTATAGATAAAGTAAATGTCATCGTTGAGGTGCTTGCTAACAAAATTGTTCGAGTGATCAAGAAAGCTCTAGCTAAGGTCCGCCTCATTGGATAGGGCGACTCGAGGCCTCCTACTAATTATGGGTAGTATATTTTGAAAGTTCGTCCGTCACTAGTACGGGTTACCGGCTGAGAAGCCGCTATTCGTCTTCAATCCCTTCAAAGTGCGTAACAATGCAAAATACGCCTCCTTTTCCATGGGATCCTAAGTGACTCGCGCGCTCCAGTGTACTGAAAATCTACCCAAACTACGCACTCAATCGAGTAATGTAAAGTATACAACACGCACTACAACCGTGCAGACCCCAATGATCGCATGGTCGACATTTTTTGGCGCATCACCAGGTCATGAATAGCCTCAAAGGAGAACATCTAGATGATTGTATAGATTCGTTAAAGTGAATTGCCGAAGTGATCCGATCAAAGCAGCTCTCAAACGAGCAGAGACTACAATTCAAGCAGTCAAATAAACAGCAAATACCGCCCAACAGAACTTCATCTATGACAAATGCTTTAAAGTTATCAAAATGGAAACGACGACAATTTTGACTGAACCATAGAGATGTTAAATCAGAAAAGTCCTGATAAAGAGTACCCCATGAGATTGTTTA